GTGTAGAAGGCCTCCAGCCGTACATGTTTGAGCCCTTGCCTCACAACGCTGCCAGTTCTGTTAGCTCTACGCCTGCTGAAGACACAGACGTCCATCCCCGTGAACACTGGGACGGAACTCAATGGGAAAGTAAATGATTCTTATTTCAACTGTTGTGTATATTAGCTGCGACATATCAAGATCTTATGACCGAAAAAACAAGATAACGAAAAAAAAACCCAACAGATTTTAAGACAGGATTTGTTTAACATAGAAATTTTCAACATTTTGTCTCAAAAGAGTACCTTTATATACATTTTTAAGCCAGAATGATTTGACATTTAAATATGATTTCCCTACAACTTTAAAAAAGTTCTAATTCCATTTAGACTATATTTCTTCTATAGTTTCATGAGCCTAAACTAGATTTTAGTTCAAAATTTAAACCACTAAGGAACAACTGTAGCATGATGGAAGCAAACATGTAACATAGACCTGTCGCTCATTTTGTATAAACTGAACCAGATGGTAAACATCCCAGTTATATAACGACTCCAAGCAGAAAGTGGCTGTCAGAGCAAATCAATAGGACTTTTTACATGCCGCATTAATTAAACACGTGTTAATGTGCTTAAACTTAACTCCGACGTGTGGATCAACAAACACTACAATTAGCTTTTAAATATTGTAGCCAGAGAGAAAAGAGGGGCTTTAAAAAGTAGCATGATTAGCTTGTCTGGTTGCTGACTGACCTTTAGGCTGGCACTTCTGTTTGAGGAGGGTGGTGGTGGCCTGCCAGGGAATGTCCCAAACTTCAAACACACACACCTCAGTCTGATTCAGGAGCACATGTGAAGCAAGGAGATAAGAGGACATTGATAGCATCAGAATCACGTGTTTGCTATGCTATCCTGCAGATGCTAAAATAAGCAAAGAAACAGAGGAAGTTATTAAGTTTTGTCTTCAGCTCTGAGGGTGTGTGACTGTGCTACTCTTTGATTTAGACTTTTGTTTGTTTTTCAGTGTTGGGTAAAAACTGAACAGTAGAAGCAGAAGAAGCTGGGTTTTTTTAAGTCTCAGGATTTCAGCAAGTTCACTGCCAGTCAAATTAATGTCACAAGACTGGATGCGTGATGACATTTCCGCTGAACACACAGGCGCTGCAGCAACAACAAATGAATAAACAACTGTATGAGTCACTTCCCCACAGAAACAGATCCTACCTTGAGTTTCTGAGGATTGGGATAGAAGTCACAGGTCCTCAGCATGGAGGATTTCTTACACTGGGTGTTGCTCAGTTCCAGAGTTATAGTGTAGCGAATTCCCTTCACCAGCTAAAAAACAGGCAAAAACACAGAAATTAACAGAAATATTTAGTTTTCAGCAGAAGTTTCAGAAATTAATTGAGGTGTTTGCATCTCTTCTCCCAAACATCTGCAATCGCTCACATTTTCACTTCTGGTCAGAGATAGAGCTTAGAATACTGACTATTGTAGGACTCAACATGTTATTTAATTAAAAAAATAATTAGAAGAATTACAACGATTTAATTTGAGAAAAAAAGGCTTTTTGAAGTGTACGTCAATCATTTTTCTGTGAAGTTTGTGCTTTTGTTTTGAAGCGCGGACCCATACTTTCATCCAGAATCTGTTAAATTTGGCCAAAGTTTCTCAGCACTAACACCATTTATCCGTTGTTTACACAGAGGGGTAGCCAGAACATTTCTATAAGGGTGGCCAGACAATAACCAATGTACACTGAGCGGTGGCCGAAAGTGGATATAAGCCAGAACCTCAAGCTTTTTTTTTGTACTAGCGGCTAATTTTTTCGACAGTAGTTTGACAGGAATGGGGGTATGACAGAGGGGGAGAGGCATGCAAAGGACCGCAGGCCGGATTCGAACCCAGGTCGCCTGGGCCGAGGACCAAGGCCTCCGTATATGGGTCGTGCACTTTAACCACTTCACGCCCGGCAAGCCAAAGTTAAGACTAACTATCCTTTCCTACAGCCTTTGCTGGTAAGGGTGGCCATGGCCCCCCCTGGCCCCTGTGTTAACATACATGTAATAACACTAAACTTACTCATATGGTGGTATAATAACTTATTAAAAGGAATATACTGATGTCATAAATGAAAATTGTTTCATAGATGTCATGTATGGAATAAATAAAACAACCATTTTTAGGTTTTTACCTGTTTTGTGGCAGTGACGACCCGGCTAACTTTGCGGAGATGCATGGCGTTAGAGCCCAGGTTGTATCGCTCCTCTGCGAAAAGCAGAACCTTCTTCAGCTCCGGATCGGACTCATGGAGCCGGATGGGAGAACCGGGAGGCCCGAACAGAGGCCGGTCGAGGTCTTCGCCGAGCCCGAGTACAGAGGCCAGGATCAGGCAGAGGATTAGCGGGCAGCAGCTAACTCCGACCCTCATTTTGAGCTCAGCGAGTGGAAAAGGACCAGAGTTCAGTTTGAGCCGAGTTTTAAAAAGCGCTTTTTTTTTTCTTTTCCCTAGAAATAAAAATCAATACCTTGCTATCTGAGGCAGTTATACAAGCCAGATATTGTTGTCAAACAAACGGGACTGCTTGTGGGAGGAGACACAAGCATTATTATAATGAGAGGGGTTGTTTTAAAGAAGTGCTGCATCAGTAATAGCAGATAAACAGCTAATAATGTTAAAATATTTGCAAGAAGACAACGAAATAAATTAGAGCTTTCAGGATTAGACAATTTATGGGACCAGAACGTTTCCTTTTACAGAATCACACCTCCTATTTTCAACAGAACCCCCCTCTCCTCCTTGGGCTTGATGGTATGATCCTAGCTTGATCATACCTTCAAGCCAGAGCAGAGGAGGCGAGGCTTAGTTACTATAGCAACACCCAGATGTACCACATTTTCTGTGTTTTTCAGCCAAAGTATGCAGGTTATGTAAATCTTTGTTGTTTTCATAATGATTTATCCAATCCCCAACAATAAATGAATAAACCACATTTTTTTTGCTTTATAGTTACATTCTCTGAGTTATTATTCCTTTTTTTTAAGTCAGGAAATTTTCCAAGATCTGTGATCTTATAAAGATAGCTTGATATACAGATGGTGACAGTACAGTTTTGAGGTTACTTTATTTACACACTAAATTAATAGAAACTCAACTTCATAAGTATTTACTAACACAGTTGTAGGTATCAGGGGCGGAGCTAGATGGGGGGCCAGGCCACCCCTACCATCCCCCCCCCCCCCCCCCCCCCCCTCTAATACAGATGGTGGCAGTAATACTCTCAAGTGGAATATTCAAAACTTTTTTTTTTTTTTTTGGTTAATTATACACATCAATATACTAACATCAAAGATGACAAGTACAGAATTCATGCTCTTTTCCGAACTAGATTTTGTGTTTTCTGGGTTAAAGAAAAAATTATGTGTCTCTGCAAGTCATCTAGGAGTCTTCAATGAAATCAAAGATAAATAACAATTTTAATAAAAACTTATCAAATAATCAATTTATGTAGATATTAGTGCTTCTAAATATAAATTTTATGCAGAATGTTAATTGATACAAGAAGGTAAGTAAAGACAATGATGATTAATTTACGCCCCAGAACTCAAAACTGAGTTTTATCAACTATAAATTTTATCTAGACGGATGTTTAAATATATGCGTCTATTTGTTAGCAAAGGCTGTGGGAAAGTATAGTTTGTCTTTATTTACAAAATATGGATGTTTTGCTAGTTAATTTTCCTGTTTGAACAATGTAAATTGACCCTGAAGTTCTGGTGCCTATCTGCTTAGTGTACGATGGTTATTGCCTGACCACCCTTATAAAAAATTTCTGGCTATGCCTCTGGTAGGTATCTTATAATATAGAGACACCAGCAATTAACCGTAATATAAACTTTAACTGCAGGGTGAATTAGCCAGTCAAGCAGATATAGTAGCGGTTTGGCAGCAAAAACTTGACATTATTTCCATATAACTTTATCCACTGGTTTTTATGCTAATTTTTTTTAATATTAGACAGTGCACATTAATCAACATTTTATATCTTGCCCGAGTTAGCTAAATTAAATTAGTTTCCTTTTGGCAGTTGCCAAACCCAGTCTAAAATGTAGGGGGGGAATAAAATGAATCTTTCATATCATTCTACACACACAGTAAGAATATGCAACCTGTATCTACATTTATTGTGACAATTAATCTTCACAAGTCTTTCTTTTCAAGCATTCACTAAGTGGGACTTCTAAGCATGTTAATCAAGGTGCAGTCTGTATTTTGACTAGTCAACTTCAATTTGATTCCTTTTTTTTTCAGTCATTTTCTGTAGATTTGCTGCTTTTCGTTACGGTTCGCTGTCCTATTGATAACCCTATAGTTAGATCTATGACTCCATATTAAATGTTCAATACTGTTTTTCTAAGGAAGAAATGCAGTGGAAATACAAACAAAAGGCAAGGTATGTACATTTTTATAGCACATTTAAATAGCAAGGCAATTCATTGCAGCAAAAAAAAAAAAAAAAAAAAAAAATCATAGGAATAGTAAATTGCAGGTGATTAAATGATTAATGAACATTTACATTAAAAAAATTAAATGAATAATTAAAAAATTACTATTAAATAACAACAACATCTAACTATAGTATTATTGAGTTAAAGTTGTATTAAACGAGGGAAGATCAACGCAAATGTATTGGCACAGACTATTTTCTCTGTTTACTTTAAAACTCATTGGTCTCTATCCTGTATTTAAACATTGACGATCTTGAACACCGCTTATTTAGAAGAAAAATACATTTCCCACAATGCAAATGTACAACGACATAGTACACATAAGCTTGGTTTACAAAAAGGCTTCTCAAAATAATAAAAAGCTCGTAATGATAAAGCAGTGGATTATATGTAATACCTTTTAATTATAATAATGAAAAAATAACCCTTAACAAATAAATGACCAACGAATAAGGTAAGAGGGCAAAAAAAATCTCACTGCTTTTATTTTGAAAGTAAAAGACAGGCTTATACCGGAAGTGATACTTTGGTCTCCTACGTTTTCAGATAACGCCATAGCATGTGGTTTGTTCTTCACTGATTGAGTGAACCCTGTTATTCAGCTCAGTTTCTCTGCTGCTTCTCTGCAGTTGTTTGAAACATATTAGATTCTGAACGGACGCTCCTGTCTCTTGTTTTCAAGGTAGGAAGGTTGATACCGCCGTCTTTCAACGTAGCTCGTGTTAGCAGTGTTAGCATACGAAGCTAATTTTTTTTACTGTGATTTATAAACTTAATATCTTTAAACTTCAGAACGCGTCAGTATGTAGAGAGATATAAATAAAAAAGTGTGATGCGTGAGAGCTAATGAAACTGATTTGATTGCTGCAATGTTTTTTGGTGTAACGCATCGTTCGGTGATCAGGCAGGTTGGAGGCTGTTAAAGAATTTCCGGTTACTCTAAACCGAAGGTCTGCATGGGGGTCGCGAAAGTTTTGGTTGATTAGACTTTTTTTCTTTATATTCCCCCCTGTAATTTTTTCCCCTAATTGAAATGTCTTTAAATCCACATTAACATGAATTCAACAGACTGTAGTAAACAGATAAATGGAAGCAGAAGATGTCTTTCAGTCATCAATGCTCACATTCAGCGACACACAGGAGCTCTTTCAAGCTGGACACCGTTTCATTCACAACACCTGTTCCATCAACCATAGGGTGACCATATTTTCATTTGGGAAAACCAGGACACCTTGGAGCGGGGGGGGGGGGGGGGGGGGGGGGGGAATAAATGTCTCATCATCGGGATTTGCTCCGTGATCAGAGGAAAGGTTACTTGGCGCCGAACAGTGGTGAAAATTGGAAGTTCGGTTTAATATAATACAACTCTGTGAATAGTTCCGTCTGAAATGAATGAAAATAGTTGTTTTAATGGTTATTGAGTCAGATATGAGGCGGTTGTATTTGATTTATCTAAAGGTTTTTATCTGTTACTGTGTAAATGGGTTTGGCTGTAATTTAAGGACACATTCTAATAGATCTGCAGAGTCGGAACTATAAATCTGATAGGAGTTTAATTTTTTTATTGTTGTTTTGCACAAGATGCTTAACTAAGTATTTTTGGTTGTTGAATATTAGAGATTTTGCAGATATATTTTTATACATACATTGTTTAGATTTACTTATGTATCTCTAACCCTTTTATAGAATAGAAAATCCCTTTATTGTCCCACAATGGGCAAATTTACAGCAGCAGAAAGATTATTGAAAATGGTCACACAAATGGGGACCTTAGAAAAATGTATAACAATAACATAATAGGGAAGAGTTAAAATATAAACAATAAAATACTGTAAAGTGTTTTAACAATATAAAACTGGAGAATTAATAACCAATATGCAGCTATGGACATTTTTACAGTATTGGATATTTGAAAATAGCAGCAACATCAGAGATGTGCAGAATGACAGCAGCAGGTTATTTAACTAACTAAGGTTTCTATCATTACATTTGATTTTATTTGTTCCTGCTCCCGGTGGTTGGAATCTTTATTCCACTGTGGATTCTTGTGAGTGTAGTCTTTGTTGGCTTTAACTTTTAAAAAAATAAATAAATAAACAAACAGTTTTGAAAACCTCAGTATTCATTCTTTTCCTGCTTTGTGTGTCAACTTTCACGGTTGCTAAGCAACAGAGCATACGTCGGTAAAACCCGCTGAAGGGAGGACCTGTTCGAATTTACAGACAGAACTCTTCCGGCCTCCTTATTTTCAAGGACTTCGAAGGATCCAGTCTAGGTAGACCGCGTCCTTGGAGGATGCAGCCCAGGTTTTCGAACAGAGCCTCTGATTAAGAACAGGGCTGCCCGCACTGACGCGGCTCAGGGATTACGTCACACGGAGCGTCGCGCGCAGTGAAATCAGGACATTTCCTCACTTTCTAAAAAAAACCCGGGACGCCCGGGACAGGACGTGAAATACGGATATGTCCCGGGAAATACGGACGTTTGGTCACCCTAATCAACCAGGAATCAGAATCAGAAATACTTTAATAATCCCAGGGAGAAATTACTTTTATTACATTACTCCATGTGTAATAGAGTGACTATAGGACCAATATATTCATAATTAGGGGTCCCCGCTCCATCTTGCCATCAGTTTTGGGGTGCTTGGCCTGGAAACCGTTGAAGACCCCTGATCTAAATGCTTTCCCAAATAGATTAGCTGTGTAGTTTTTGTTTAGATGTATCTGTGTGTATCAGGCTGTAACTGATTAACAAGTATGTCTCATTGTATTTTGTTAAGTTTGAAATATGTTAATTTTGCCATTTATAAGGGTAGGAAATATGGACCTATAAGTTTTATTTTATTTAAAGGCACACTATGCAACATTTTTCAGTTAATTAATGTGTTCCATAACGTTTTGGATGATTAAATGAGTCATTTCAGGTTGAACAAAGGTATTCTCGGCCGCCCTGGTGGTCTGTGGGGGAAATACTGCACTTGCAATTGCAGGAGCACCGACCCGCACCCACAGGCTCAGAAGTCTCGTGAGAGTCAGTCTTGCTTTACGGCGAGAACTGCAACACGCCCCCAGTTAAAAGCATGCTCGTTGCTAGCACAGTGGCGATCCTTGTGCAGTTATGCTACGTTCGCGCAGCAAAATCGCGTCTGCTGCTTCATTTTTGCTGCTTGTACCAGTTAGTTCTGACGCGCGGCTGAAGCAGCTTTGCTGCTCTGGCTGCGCGGTGCAAAAGTGTCTCTGACGCGCGTTGGGCGGAGCTTCACTATCCTTTCTCTGCCTTGCAGCTATATTTGCTGTGATCATTTGGAATAAAGTAGTTTTAATATGTGTTAAAGTGAGAAAATACACCTGAAAACGTAATCAGTGCCGTCAGTTCATTCAGATTATTATCCAGCCTTCAATATTTTTTCTGTCGGAGCCGCTCAGACCCCCACATACCAGCGGTGCGCCGACAGAAGGAACCCCTTCATCAGCAGCCTCTGGCCAGGTCACGTCCTCGCGGTTCACCGCGGCAGCTGGTAGGTGTTTTTCATCTAAATAATCCAAACTGCATATTCTGCCGGCAGATTTCTGCATTTTAAGTTAATTTAGGCGTCAATAAACTGTTTAAGAGGAGAGATCATAGCCTCTGATCATCAGCGCTGTGTCTCTCTCCCTGCTTCAGCTGCTCAGACGCGCTGGGCCTGCTGCTCCTTTGCTGCGCCTTGACGTGCTTCAACCATTGACTTTGCATGTAAACTCGCTGCTTCTGTCGCGCCAGCTGCGGTGTGAACGTAGCATTAGTCATTCGTTGCGTTCACCTGTCTGCTAAGCTCAAAACAACCGCGCCTGGCTTGACGGAGAAACCAGGAGAACAGCTGTGCATATTTACGACAGTGCACTTTTACTTTCGCCCTCTGGGGGGAGCCTCGCTGGAAAATCAACACCGGTTGCATAGTGTACCTTTAACCAGGAAAAAAAAAAACCTATTGAGATTAAAAACCTCTTTTTCAAGGGAGTCCTGGCCAAGAGGCCGCAAAATTACATAAGATACATTAAACATAGATGCATTAAAATAAATGACAGGTACATAAAAAATAAAAAACATATAAAGTAAAACAATTACAGGTCATTGAGGCTGCTTCAAATTCTTTGACTTTCAACTTAAAAGTATTTAAAGCTAAAAACTCAGTCAATTTCCAGTTTCTTTGTTAAATATTCCACGCACAAGGAGCTTAATAGCTAAAGGCTTTCTTCCCTAGTTCTGTGCGGGCAAAAGGAACAGTGAGCAACAGCTGACGGTTGGATCACAGGGCAGAAGAAGCCATGCTTCTCTTTGTAAGTAAGGTACAAATGTAAGAGGGCAGTAATCCAAGAAGGGCCTCGTAAATAAAAGTGTACCAATCACACTGCGTTTTCGAAGAGAGGGAAGGCCATCCCACCTGAGAGTACAGGTCACAGTGATGTGTCATGGCTCTACGGATTGTGATGAACCTTAATGAAGCATGGTAAACAGAGTCCAACATTTGAAGACATGATGAAGTAGCATTCTTTTCAAACAAGTTTATCAATAAAAGGTTTGACGGTGAGGGAGTCATCAATTTCAATTCCAAGGTATTTATACTCATGTACCTTCTCAATGACATTCCCCTCCTGAGTGGACACTACTGGAAGGGTTTGAGGCACCTTCTTGTTATTTGTAAACATTAACTTTTTTTGTCAGGATTAAGAAACAATTTAAGATTAATAAATGAATACTGTACAGAAAAAAGATTTCTGTAGGGAATTGTAATGAGTTTGTCCCGATATTTCATGGCATTTGATGTTTATAAGCGAAGAATAAGACTTATTTTAAAAAGAAAAAAGTTTTCTTGGTTATAAATGTCAAAGACATGGAAGTGTATTGCATTCACCAAAGAAAAAGAAAAAAATCAGACAACTTATCTCATAATTAAAAGATACTGAGACTTGGATCAGTATCCCGTAATTATGAGATGCTGATCTCGTAATTATGAGATAAGCTGTCTGATTTTTTTTTTCTTCTTTGGCAATACGCTTCCATACAAAGAGCTTTAGGAAAAAAGTCCTCAAAAATAAAGCCTTCCTATTAAGGTTTGAGCACATACATCAAATTTATTATTAGAATACTCAAAAACATTGATATTTTTACTAAAGGGACAATGAAATTCATAAACTTGACATTAAAGTCTACGGCTATACTTCACCTCTCATCCTTCATCAATAAAGAATGGTTCAAATGAAAAATAACTAGGGATGCACGATATTGGGATTTTGGCCGATATCCGATATGCCGATATTTTAAAACTCATGTAGCCGATAACCGATATCGATACCGATGTTACAGCTGGTAAAAAATAAGTAGTCATTGAAAATAGCAGTTTTGTTATCCATTTCTGACACTTTGAAAAATAATATACTCAAATATATTTTCATATGCTGATATCAAATTGATTTTTAAAAACGCGGTATCGATCTATTTTACTTTCAAAATCTCGTGAAATTTTATCGTTCTGTTACAAATTCTCATGATATTTTGCAAATTCTTGTGAGATTTTGTTAGTAAAATAGATCCATACCGCGTCAATATATCAACTTATAAAAATATGGCAAAATTTCGTGAATTTTCGGGGGATTTCGTAGCATAACGATGACATATAGCAATATTTCATTTGTAAAAGAG